TATATCTGTAAAAATATAAGCTGTTATCCGACTTTCGGTAATGCTATAATTATACTATATTAATTAATTAATTATGCTATATTTTACTTTAAATTTTTGATACATCGAAAACTAGTGCTATTTAACTACGCATGTGCAAAAGAGAATGAAGTATCACTTGCTTTAATCGGATTGGATTTGTTAACTAGGTAGGAGAACGCGTTTCATTAGGACTTTATTCTTTATTAGAGTGACGTCCCTACCCCTGGATGCTTAGTTATTATATACATTATCTTCGGTTGTACTTTTGTCATGTTGAGCAGATATTGACCGATAATGGCATTTATAAAAATAAAGAATGAAATTCAAAAATCATTGCCATTAGGACTACATATTTTAATCATTATTTAGCGAAGTAATATGCTTATTTAAATGTTATATAAATGAATATGTGCTACTGGTTAAGCATACAAAGGCACAAATACAACGAGAGATTCAGAACTAGAATAAATTTTCATTTTTGAATAAAGAGTCTTTTTTTTACTTGCATCCTGTGCGGAAATGGCGCGGTATAAATGATAATAGAGAGATATAGAGATAGATAATCATTAACATAATTCATATGTCAATATAATGAACGTAATTATTGAATTTAATGTTAGAAACTTATATAGACAGATGTTAATATATTATGTAGGTCTAATGACAATGGATATGGACTTATATAACACAAAATACATGATCTCTATGTTCTGTGATATATGTGTTGTAGTTCGATTTACATAGCGCTTTATACCGAGGTCTCAAATCGTTCAAGGTGTGGACTAGCTCTTACAATAACTTGTTTCCCCTACCCCAACACCATGATCTCGTTATGTCTGCGCTACTCTGTAAACCGGTACAAACTACTCTCGTCTGTCCATAACAGCGGATGTAGGCTATGGACCAGTACACTGGGATAACCCACTACTTGTCCGAAAGATGCTCAAGTGCACATGAGCAAAATTGTGTACATTGGGCCTACGGTATATATTCCTTACCCAAGAATACTTTTTCCACAGAGCCATAGGCCTGCGTGTCGTTCGAACAAGCTCCGTTGTTATAGGCCTGTATACGGTACGTTGCGGCACCCCTGCCTTCACCACTGGGCCATTCGACTCGCCATAAGTACTAAACAGGAATATCTTATCATTCTTGCTATTTTTATGTTTTTATACGTCAGACACGTTTAAAAATGTGTTACTTTATTCACTTGCACTCACAAGTTAGAATACTATTAACAAGTGCCGGGAACCGGAGAGACATAGGTAAGCACATCAACTATAGGCCTAGTAAGCTATAATTAATCACAAACAAAAGCGTAATAATAAGAGAGAAAACACACTAGGTTCACCACAAGGTAAGCGTATTAGTTGTCTAGTGGTTAAAATTGCTCATCCTTTATGCAGAAGGACCTAGGTTCGAGTCCTCGTGGAGCGGATAGTTAGAATCCCATTAACAAGTGCCGGGAACCGGGGGGGGGGGCATAAGCACGTAAGGTTACCACGGAACTAAACTTCAACTATAGTAAACTATATTTAATCACAAACAAAAGCGTAATAAAAAAAATAATGAGAAAACACACTAGGTTCACCACAAGGTAAACATATTAGTTGTCTAGTGGTTAATAGCGCTCCCCCTTTATGCGGAACGACCTAGATTCGAGTCCTCGTGGAGCGGATTTATTATTTCCATTGTTGGAAAGATACACATAATAAACCTGTAGGCCTACACCCTA